GGCTCCTGGGCCAGAGGCTCAGGTCCCACGTCGCCACATCCAGCCACCTCTCCAGTCCCTGCTCATCCCATGACAGCGACCTGACCTATCTGTCACCCTGACGGCCCACACACAGCAAGTGCTTAAAACCAGCCAGCATCCCAGGCCTTGGACACAGCGGTGTTTGTCGGCGCCCGGCGACACAGAGGTTTGGCGAAGGACCGAAGCCTGGGTGACAGCCACAGTACGGTCCAGCTCTGCACAAGTTGTGACCGAGCTGGCTCTCGGCAGTGCCTGGGGGTGTCCGGGCCTCCGAGTGGGGGCCGTGGGCGCCAGGGAGGGAAGCCGGAAAGTACAGACGGCTCACGGCCGGTCAGGCCCGACCCTGCCCCTGGCTCTGTCCTGTCGCTGCCACAGCGACGCAGGTCGAGAAGCCCACTGGACAGTGCTGTCGACCTTCCGTTTTAAGCAGTCACGTGTGCTTCAAAGAACTCGAGGGGGAAATGCCACCCAGTACATTTATTTCGAGTCACCGTTTCTGCTGGTCTTCCTTTATTTCTGGAGACCTGCTTCTTCCTGCTGTCACGTCCCTTCCGCCTTCAGCGTTTCTGGCTGAAGTCCCCTCCACTGAGAGGACCTGTGTTTTACCGGCCGCCCTGAAAGCAGACGCAGAATCCGGGCTCGGAGCGCCCCCATTAGCCCTCCGCGGCTGTTGCCCCCCGGCCTCCGGCCTCCACCGGCTCCCCCGGGAAGGTTCGGCCACTCGATCGCCGTTTTCCGTGCGGCGTGTTGTCACTGGCCGCTTTCGAGACGTTTTCTTTGGTTTTCAGCAACTTGATTATTGTTCTGTTGTTGTTATTGTTGTTTTCGTCCATCCTCTTTGGGGTCCTCTGAGCTCCTTGAGTGTTTCGATGTGCGTCTCTCACCAGATGTGGGGTGTTTCAGCCATTATTCCTTCACGTTACTTCTCGTCGCCAAGCCCTGTCCCGTCTTCCTGAGACCCCGGCAAGCGTGGGCCTCGTGCGGGTCCCTGAGCCCCGCTCAGTCCGTCTCCTCCAGAGCGGGTACTTTCTCCTCGGCCTCAAGTTCGAGACCTTTCTCTCCCCCTCCCTTCCGTGCGGGGTCCCGCGGCGCCTTCATTTCAGATTCTGAATCTTCAGTTCTAAAACACTCGCCTGTGTGTTTTGTCTCATATCTGCAGCTCCTCCGCCGAGAGTTACCATCTCGCTCATGCCACATCCACTGCGAGTGTGTGTGCTTGTGTGTGCGTGTGCACGTGTGTGTGTGCGCGCGTGTGTGCGCGTGTGTGTGCGTGTGTGTGAGCGCGTGCTTGTGTGTGTGAGTGCGGGTGTGTGTGCGTGTGTGCGCGCGTGTGCGTGTGTGTGCGCGTGTGTGTGTGAGCGCGTGCGTGTGTGTGTGAGTGCGTGTGTGCGCGCATGTGTGGTGTGTGCGCATGTGTGTGCGTGTGTGTGTGGCGGCACACGGCAGTCATCGAAGCTGCCGGTGGCACGGGGCCATCGGGGCCATCGGGGCCAGCGTGCCGTCACTGTCCTTTCTCTTAAGCATTGGCCGTTTTCCCGGTGCCTGTCGAGTAGCTTCGTTCTGCATCCTGAACATTGAGCTGCCACGCCGTGTGGCCTCTGGGTCCCGTTTGCATCCCCTGGGGACGCTGGCACTCGTGTTTTACTGGCAGGCCCACCTCACCACCTTCTCGTCACCGCTGCTGGTTGGGGTCTGTCCCCCTGTGCACCTCCCAGTGGGTCTCAGACTTGCGAGGAACCACACGCAGAATTCGGAGGGCCTCTGTCTGCTCTCCCCACTCCTGCCCCCCACCTGCAGGGCCCCCTCCGGTTCCCTGGGGCCTCAGCAGCTGTTTGTGTCTCGTCTAGATTTTAGTCAAAGCAGTGAGGGGCCAGGCGCTGGCCGAGTCGGTACCTCGGGGCTGCATGCGAGATGCCACCTCCCTTGCTCCTTTCGAGGGCTTCCTGACAGTGACGCTTCGTGGGGAGATGCCCGTGAACCTGGAGGTGAGCGTGAGCGCCGGGCGGGGCGTCGGCTCGAGGAGCTGGGTCTTTGTCTGGGGCATTGGCCGGAGCCGACCTGTGTCTGGCGGGGGAGGCCGTGGCCAGAAGCGGGTCCGGTGACTGGGGCTGTGGCATCGGCGTGTTGACACAGTACCTTCCTTCTCCACGTCACGGTCGGACGAACACTCTCAGTCACAGGCAGCGACGTGGGGACCGGAGGGGCAGGCCCACCCTCCGCAGGTGCACGGAGTTAGCAGCTGGAGCCCGGGCCTCGCGTGCCAGGCACCCTTAGAGCCACTTCCGTTGCCTGGGACACAAAGTCCTTGCCAACCCACATTTCCTCACCCCGCAGCCCGGTTCCCGGGTCAGCGATGGACGGCAGCCGATGAGCTCAGTGCTGGCAGCAGCGGCGGTGACTCGGGGGGAGGGAAGAGACGGGAAGCAGAGGCACCACGCGCACCCGGCCGCGGCGACAGGCAGGAAGGGGGCAAGACTTATGGGCTGTGACAGCTTAATGGCCTTTGGCTGCAGCATCCCCTGGATGGGCCAGCGCCAGGAGCGGCTCTGGGCCTACACGCACTCCAGTCGCTGTCACTCGGCCGGCCCGGTGAGGCGGGGAGCGGCAGCCACGCGTTTCCCCCGGCCACAGGTTCAGGGGGCACCTCCTGCCACAGGTCCTGGTCAGCTTCAGAGGGACGGTGGGCAGGCTGGGAGGAGGCCACATCAAGGGCTGTCGCACAGCAGCTGGGAGGCACGGGGCAGTGAGGCCAGAGGCCCGAAGCACTGGCTCCACGTGCAGAAGCCTGGCCACACCCGGTCCTTCCGGATCTGGTGTCTGTTGGTTTGGGGAGAATGGTGAGGTCAGACAGGACTTGGACATGTCCCCAAGGAGCCCGGAATCTCCTGGGCAGCGAGAGATGCCCTCAGGGGCGGGAGGAGCACGGACGGGAGCCCCGTCTGCAGCTGCGGCCCCGTCTGTTCCCGTCGGTGGCGGCCACCATCCGTCCACCCCATTTTCAGCTGAGCTCCCGCCTCTGCGCTCAAGGCCTCCGCATCCAGCACCAGTGACGGCTCCACAAGTGCTCATGGGCCCCACAGACCCACGGCCCAGCCACCCCCCTTCCCAGCTCAGGGCCTGGGGCTTCTCTCCCTGGGGCGCCCCATCCAGTCTTTTGAGAAGACCAGCCACCTCTCCTGTGGCTGCTCGGTCAGGCCTAGAGCCACATGCAGCCACCCGTAGGCCCCACCCACCTGGCTGGAGCCCTGCTTCCTTGGAGGGGGGGCATCGAGCCACTGAAAGGGCTTGGAGTTGCGGTGGCCCCAGTGGCCGGGCAGGCTCTCTGCCCCTGTGGTCTCCGAGGCCTGTGTTCAGCCAGAGTTTGATTCTCTGCCGACTCTGACCCCTTGGGAGGTCCGCTTTTCTGTGGCGGGTGGGGCAGGAGAGAGACGAGGGGTGGGAGGGTTTGGCTCGGCTGAGGCCTGAGGACAGGGCCCCTGCACGCGTACCGGGGATACTGCCCCCCACTCCCCCCGAGGGGCCGCCGAGAGCGGGCGCGCAGCCCCCCGTGGCCTGCGTGCCTTTGCGGGGCCGGGTTGGAGGGAGAAGCCCTAGTCAGCCCTGTTTCCTGGAGACATAGCCCCTTAAGTGGCTTAGCACGCACGGGCCCCGGCACCCTGTGACTGCCCGGCTGCACCCCCTTGTCCCCAGTCAGTGAGCCAGCTCACCACAGCATCACCCGCAGGTGGCTGGTCAGTGGTGTCGCCGCTCCAGGTGTGAGCATCACGCTGAATCTGAATGAGCTGCCCAGGGGCCCGCGGAGGCCGTGGCGAGCGGGACCCTGTGATTTATCGTAAACTCTGAGGTCGCTGTGCGGCCTGTTGAGCGACGGGGCTGGGCCCCCCCAGGGGAATGAGGCTCCCCCACGCTGAGTGTGAGGGCGTCAGCCGCGGTGCCACCGTCTCACGAAAGAGGAAGAGGATGCTCACGGCGACACCTCCGCCGAATGTGGCGACCAACCTTCTGGTCTAAGGCAAACGGAGAGAGAGGCACTGTGGGCCGGAGGCAGAGGGGGCCGAGGCCGACGGAGGCGCTGCCCCCACAGCGGGCCCTCCGGGGAACGTGGAGACAGCAGCACAGCGGCGCGGACCACACGCCCGCGAGGCGGCGGGGCGGGCTCTCCCTGCTCCCCAAGGACCCCCCACGTTGACCCCGCGCCGGGAAGCACCGGGCCGGGGGCCAGCGAAGCACTCTGGGAGCCCGGCGAGGCCCGTTTTAACGGCGTTATTCATCGGCACTTTTACTCAGCGGCTGGCACGGCCCCAGCACGCCGGCGGCCTCCGCTGCTGGAGGGGCCGGGCAGGGCGGGGGCTTCCCAGGGGGACTCCTGCCCCCCGCACCGGCCCTCCCCAGGCCCCTCCCGCCCACCAGCAGCCCTCACTGTCTCTGAGAATCTGGAACCCAGACAGGGAGACGGGCTGAGGGGAGGAAGTAATATTTGCAACAGCTTCAAAACTCAAAAACCCCTGTGCATCAGTGGCTGGCCTTGAGCGTGGCGCCTGCTGTGGGGACCACAGTCTGCCCCGGAAACTCCTTGACCATGTCCCAGAGTGACACCCCAGCCAAATCCTTCGGCGTTCACACGCTGAAGCCTGGGGGGGGGCGGGGTACGGGGGAGCCATTGGCATCAGGCCATCCCACCGGAGAGACAGGATGGCTCGGCCTGGTCCCGCTGAGTCCGCCCAGCAGGATGCCCGCCGGGCTTTCTCCCTGAGCCGCCAGGGAAGGACCGAGATTGGGGGGGCCGGGGCGCCCAGGTGCGGGAGCAGCGTGGACGCCTGACGCAGGCCCCTCCCCCGTCCCCAGCCTGCAGGCCCCGGCAGCCACAGCATCGCAGTAATCAGCCACGAGGATGCTAAACATAAAAAGATTGCTTTCCGGGAAAAGTGCTGACGTGCGGGACGCTCTGGCGAAGACGGAGCTGGAGGGAGACGGGCTCGGATCCACACGGCGCACGGAGGCTCAGACTTTAATCAATTTTCAACCCTTGAAACGAAAACAGTCTTGATTTATGAAATTCCACAGGTCGGTTCTTCTCTCCGGCGCCCGGTGTTGGGAGCAGGGTCCTGCCCCCAGGCCACCCTGCCCGGCGTGGGGGGGACATCCCCGGGAAGCCCCACGCCCGACCGTCCCCACAGCGCGTGTCAGGGATGCCGCATTTGCGCTCATCGCTGGCGTTTGCTCAGCGCTCTGAGACCTCGCGTGTGCCACTGGGACCAGCAGTGGCTCTCAGACTGACCCTGACCTCAGGGGTCAGTGTCCAGGAGGCGCACAGATGACCAGTCGAGGGAAGACAGTTCTCTCCGCTCCCCCGACCAGGACGAACAGGCCGCACTCGGGGGTCTGGCGGAGACCTGTGGGCACTCCGAGCTTCCGCCCACTCCAGTGCTCGGGCTTGCCGCCCCTGCCGGCTCTGGCCACTGAGGCGAGGCCCTCGGCTGATCGTTGGAATCAGCGATTTGAAGCAAAGTTTGGACGCCTCGTGTCACCACGCGCCCGAACCCGCCGGACAGATAAAGGAGCAAAAGCCGGCAGGTCATTTCCTGACGCTGGACGGTGGGGCCTTTCCAAGCTGCACAGAGGGGAAATGGACAGATCGGACACGCGAACACTGAAGACGTCTGGGTGGTTAGAGACCATCGCTCAAATCAAAAGCAAGTGGCAAACCAGGAGAAAGCTCCACAGTGCGTTCCAGACGGACGGCTCGGAGCAGCCTCACGGAGCGGCGCGACGTTAGCAGGAAAATGGGCAAAGGACTTGAACAGGTTTGTAAACTGCACTCCAGCCCGTCAGCTTGTGACAAACGCCGAGTTTCACCTGAATGAGAGAAACGCCCCGAAAGCATCGCTGACGTTCTGTTCATCTTCTGCCAAAGCAGCAAATAACGTTTTGAATTGTAAAACCAATTCTGGCCAACGAGCGGGAGGCCGCCACACCGCGCAGCAGTAGCGTGAGCTGGCGGGCTTTTTTTGGAGGGCAAGGAGGTGGGGCAAGGGGGTGCGTTTTGGCACCGTGTACCAAAATCCCAGCTCGATTCATAGAAATATGTCCTCAGGAGATACATCTCTGCATGAAGGGTCACTATGCATCACACGCAAAGCTGGAAACGATCTGCGTAAGTTAAATAAATGACGGTAAAATGGTGTGTAGCCCCTGAAAACGCTACAGGACATTAATGACGAGGAATGGTGCCCGTGATGAGCTGCCAGGTGGAATGAGACAGAGTAACAAAAACCAGGGCTTTGCGGGCGTGTTTCACAAGAATGGAGTGGCGAGTAAACAGGTCGTCAAGGTCACGTGGGGGGACTCTGGTCATCCCCGCGAATGCTGGCAGGTGACCAGGGGACCTTCGTAAACTTTCTTGCCGTAAATCAGGAGAAATTACACCACAAACTGGTCAGTTTCCTAGCTCACATTCTGACTAATCGTTTTTCTGCCCCCGGTGATTTTGCTCTATAACTCACTTTCAGTCAAGTTACTTGGAGCCATACTGCAAAGAGCCATGCACTTGAACTAGACCAGCAAGCCCAGGCCAGGAAGACGGCACCTTCCTCACGGGGCTCTGGGTCCAGCATGTCCATCGCTGCAGCAACGGACAGGGGCAGGGCATGTCACCCCACTGCAGCAGTGGGGGCAGGGGCAGGGCATGTCACGACACTCCCCCTGCCATCGAAACGGAGTTTTTAAAAGGTAAGGCAGGCGATGGCGAGGTGAGCGGGAGCAGCCTGCATGCGCCTGCCTCTCAGATGTGAACACAGGGCGCGTAGACGCGGGGTTCTCCCAGGACGGGGCACAGAGGCTGAAGGTCCAGCAGGCCTCCCGGCCTGGCCGAGGATGAGAAACGTGCTTCCTGCAGGTGAGTCCCCGACCCGGGCACTGGGGCCGCCTCCAGAGAGCCCCCAGCCCGGTGTGTAAGGCCGTGTCCCCTGCCTCTCCCCGCCCTGCTTCCTGCCACACCCTTTCTCCTGTGCAGGGAAGGTCACGCTCGGGCCTGCATGTAGAAGCTGCGTAGAAGATTCGAGACAGGTTCTGATCAGCTCACTCAGGAGCTGAGCCCAAGTCCTCGGCCAGGCGCCGGCTCTGCCCGCTGAGAGGGCCGGGCGGAGGTGGCAAAGGGAGCTGGGCTTGGTGTCTTCCTTTTCAGGCTGTGGATGAGACGGTGCCAGTGCCGGGCGTGGAGAGACACACCGCAGGACGCACGGCCCTGAGCGGACGGCGTGCTCCCGGGCTTACAATGCCAGGCCGCCTGCCACGCGGGGCGCCCTGCGGGGAAGCGGGGTCCCTCACCCGTCCAAGGCGCTCGAGCTCAGCAGAGCGCTGGACCAGCACTGGCCAGACACCTGTGGGCTTCTGCTCCCGGCCTGCACTCTGGGTCCCGGGGCCCTGAGCAGGTGGCCTGCCCTACACCTTGTTGACCGGCCCCCCTCTCTACGCCTGCTGACGCCGGCAAAGATGCCCCTTTCTCCTGTGGCTGCTGGAGCTGGTGGCCAAGGCAGGACCCAGGCCTGGGCGGCCTTCCTCTGCAGGCTCCAAGGCCCAGGGCGGCGGGCGTGCTTCTGAGCCAAGAGCACAGAGAGGTGGCCTCTGTCCTCAGGTCACTGCTCCTGCCTCACCAGGGCCCCTTCCTCTACAGGCAGGCTCCCGCTGGCCTCCTGGAGACAAGGAAGGAAGGAAGGGACGAGGGGGTGGTGACAAGAAGTGGAGGCCCAGTGCCGGACACTGCCCAGCCTGCCCCGCGTCCCCCGTGGCCTTCAGGGCGCCCCTGCCACAGGCGGCCAGCAGATTCGCTCACCTCCCTGGGCGTCGCCTGCCTTCTCAGACCCGAGCGGTGTCACCTGGTGTGGGAGCTCTGGGACCAGGAGTGGGGGGCACACAGCTCAGAGGTGCCGCCACAGGGAAGCCGCTGACTCGGGCTAGAGAAGGGAAACAGGCTGAGGACTGGGGGCCTGCAGCAGGGCGCAGAGATGGGGGCCCCCAGGAGACAGTGCCATGTCACCGCATGCGGCGGTGGACACGGTCACGCCTCCCTGTGCCCCAGCATCCCCACACCTCTGGTCCCGCCCGGCCAGCTGCTGCCGCCCCAATGCAGGGTGCGGCCAGGCCTGAGGGGGCCACAGCGAGGCGGAGACCACCCTCTCCTTGGAGAGGAGCCGCGCAGGGCGGTCCGGATCCCGAGGAGGCGCCCGGCGGCGGACCGGCCCTCTGAGGCTCAGCCGGGGCACGGCCGCCCCCTCCTGGCCCAGTGCGGCACTGCAGGGGCTCAAGGGCCAGCCAGGCAGGCAGGACATCCCGCCCTCGCCGCTGGACCCTGTGCCCCTTTGGCGGACGAGGAAGCTGTAAGTGGACGAGGAGACTTGAGCGTCCAGCCACCCCGTTTTCAAGATGGGAAACTGGGGCTGGAAGGAGCAGGGGCTGGAGAAAGGTCCTGGCTGGGGACGCGCTGGGGGAGGGGCTGGCGGAGACGCGGCCCATGCCAGGGGCCAGGGGGACCTTCCGCCCTCGCAGCGAGGGGACCAGGGGACCGGCTGCTGGAGACCGCCCCGCAGGTCAGCGCTGGGGTCAGGATCGTGTCCAGCTCACGCCACTCGCCATCTCCACGCGGGGTCCTGGACACGACCCAGCCGCGCCCCCTCGGGGTCCTGCGCAGTGGGGGGCTCGCAGCCCTCAAAACCCCGGGGTGCCTGCGAGGCGGTGCGGCTCCCCCGTACTCCAGGAGCTGCGGGTCAGGAGCCAGCGCCCCTGTGGCACACCTGAGGCCACCCCGCGGTGCGACCCCAACCCCTCGGTTGTCCCGCTGCAGAGAAGCCCCCGCCCACCGAGAAGTCCCCGCCCGCCACGCCGACCACCGCGCGGGGTGCGGGGCCTCCGTACCCGCCCGCGCTCTCCTGCACGTACAAACCCGGCGCGTCTGACAGCGGGAAATGCGGAAGGAAGAGGCAGCCGGGGACACGGGCGGGTCGGCCTTGGGGCGCCCCGGTTCCCCCCGGTTCCTCCGCACGGTCCATGGCCGGCGGCAGGTCCGCGGAAGCGGCTCCTTCTCACGCGGCCCGCGCCGCACACTGCCACCCTCAGCGGCCGTGGGAGGGGCTGCCGGGCGCCTCTGTGGGTGGTCGCAAGGCGGGCGACCACCTGGCACACCTAGGACATAGACAGATGTCCCCCACCAGCACGTCCCTCGGATACAACTCAGCCCTCCAGTGGGTCCCGTGTCTCCCGGGCCTGCTCCCAGGGGCCCCTGGGCCATGCCGCCTGGGGCGGTGCTTTTCCACTGCGGCCCTGTGGGGAGGGTGAGGAAGTGGCGCTGCCGCCCAGCACAGTTCCGGTCCCGCCCGCGTGGCCAGGCGGTCGCGCCCTCTGTGCCTGTCAAGGCCCCGGCTGACCCAGCAGGGCACTCACCCCACGCGGGATCCAGGGTGATGGCGTCACATGACTGAGCCTCAGCCTCCGTCAGCCCCGAGCCACCCAGGGAGCCAGCGGGGCTGTGGGCTCATTACTGATGGGCAAATAAAGGGCAGTGTGCCCTCCACACCCCCGCCTGCCCCCTGAGAATCCCAAAGAAAGAATTACGTCGTCAAACATTTCCCTGCAGCCCGGAAGACACGTCACTGTGAAACCCGGTGACGCCCACGTGGCCTGCCGTTTCCTGTGCACAAATGTGCGGTCTCTGAGTAATTCTGGGGTCACAGGTCCCCAGGGAGTGGTCTTGCTCTGAGGACAATGAGGCCGAGAGCAGCTTGTGAGTAACCAGTGAAGCCTCGCCCCCCGACAAGGGGCTCTGAGGTTCTTGGAAGTGTCCCCACTCGGCGGTCTGCCGCCCTGCGGGGGGACCGCCCCTCTCGCCCCCAGGAACACGCAGGCATCCCCCACACGTACACGCACACGCACACACACGTGTTTGCACACGCTCCCACGCCCACACACTGGTGCACTGAAACCTTCAGGTTTCATTGAAAGTTTTCCAGACTAGCGAAAATAATCTTCAAAATCTGACATGTGCTTTATGCTGAGTGCGTGTCTCAATCCAGATACTACATTGCATCAGAAAGTGTTGAAAACACTTAACTTTCACAAAGTTAATAGTCAAAGAAGGACACTCACATACCTAAGTTGTTCCAAACTTAATGGTTTTCAGTAACTGAATCGAATTTGGCTTGAAATTTGAAATTTAACTGAAAGTCCCGTTACAGCACTCTGTGGCCGCTGCGTGGCTTTCAAAGGCCGCGTCGCCAGGCAGCCCGCCTGGGTTAACAGTCACGTGACGACATTATCAGCTTTCTGCTGGACAAGCAAGGACTCTGAGGCCAGAGGGGCTGGTGCTAATGAGGCACGGAATTCCTGCAGCAAGGCGCCCGGCTCCCCAAAGCCACCTGTCCCCGAATCCGCCCTCCCGTGGGAGCCCTGGCCACATCACGGGAAGCCAGTCTTCCTCTGCTTCTGCTGCAGATCCGGCTGTGACGGCGACACCCCACCTTTGTGTCCCCCCCACCTCGACTTTGTGTCCCCCCACCCCAGGCCCGGCGTGGACTGTTGCTGGGTGATAGGCCCCTGTCGTTGGCCTGGGGAGTGGGGACGAGCAGGGGCACCCTGAATGCCGCAGGTCACGCACCCCCTGCCACTCCCCCTGGGGGCCGGCCCCCCTCAGACCCCGGGTGCTTTAAGTAAGTGTGGTGAGGTCACTGGGAGCCAGGAGGTCCTAGGGGACACGGGGAAAGCAGCAGTCTAACGGTGTTTGGGGCACATGAGCACCGGAGGGGGTGGTGACCCCAGGCCGGCGCCTGTCGACGGCGAGCGCCGCCCCGGACACCTCGTGATGTTGTCTCCCTGGCCCTCGCCACGGCCTGCCGGTTCGCCCCGCCGGCAAAGGGCAGAGCGAGGCCTGTGTTGCTCACACATGGCCCTCGTGGGCGGCACTGGATCGACGAGTAGCCCAGACACGTCGGTGACGTGCAGGCGGCAGGGGGCATCTGGCCACCGAGGGGACGGCGGCCTCACGGCATGCCAAGCCGTGGGAGGCACCCCGCCTGCCGGCCAGACCACCTACACTGGTCTCGGCCCCATGGCGGGAGAGGACCGGTCCGGGCTTTGAGTCCCCGCGTTCTCACGAGCAAAAAGTCCCCGACCTGGTGGACGCAGGTGGACCGCCGGGCCGCGAGCCCACGCGCCTTCGCCAGAGGCTTTCTCGCTTAGCGTCAGACGTGGCCCTGAATCCTCGCTCGGGAAGCCCCGTCCAGCCGCTCGGCTTGTCCTTGGTGCTATCGGTCAGGTCTACGTGACCCGTCCGGAGCCGAGCTGTGCGTAACGCCCAAGTGTCCTGTCCTCTGGAGCCTGCTCTGGACTCCCGGAGTTTACCTGTGTGTGCTGGTGTCACAGGTGCCCCGACCTGCCACAGAGGGTGGGGACAGACAAACGTTTATGTGGGTGGTGCCCACAGACACGAGTGGCGTCCCCCTGCAGGTCAAGGACGGCGGCGTCCCCCTGCGGGTCGGGGAGCTCAGTGACCGCTGCGTCTGCCCTCCGGGCGGGTTGGCAATTGTGTTTTCTGCTCTGATGATTTAACTGGTACCTGCCCCACCCCTGGTATTTACCTGACTTCCAGGTGTTTTGGAAAGGAGTTTACCTAAGGAGGGCTGGGGCGGCGGCAAGGCTCCTGTGCACACATGAGTCACTTCAGGGTTCCCGTGCTTTCCAGAAGGAGGCCGTGTGTCTCTGAGCACATAGCTGAGAACCTGCACCTGTCACGAAGGGCTGGTTTTCTCCCCTGTGCCCTCGACGACAGTCCGGGACACGGCCTTCTTAGCTAGCAGAGAGGAGGAAGGTGGCTCTAATAAAGGAGCTGACCAGGACCCCTTGTGTCCCTGTCCTCCCTGGCTGAGGCCACAGGAAATGTCTCTGACTGCCCAAGGTGGGAACTTTCCTTGTATCTGGTCTGGTGATTTTCCAGAGCCAAAACTTTCCTCTCAGCGAGCAGGAAGGACATTTGGCCACGGACAGTTCAACCAGAAACAGTTCTGCCTGACCACGAGTCACAGCCACAGGAACGGAGCCAGGACATGACTCAGCAGGGCTGGGGAGGGGGGTTGGGAGGAGCAGGGGTGGGCCCAGAGCCAGATGGGGTGCCGAGTGGTCTGGCCGACTCCTTTTCAGACCACGTGGACCTCTGGCCGCCCCTGAGCGGTGTCACCTACAGAACGTTCCGAAGGAGGCCCGAGGGGGGAACCCCAGCCCTGGGCAAGGTGGGCGAGAGGGCCACAGGGGTGGCTCCGGCTCCCGCGAGGTATCAGCGTCTGGGGAAGCAGAGGTGTCAGGTGGCATCAGCGCCGAGCGGTCCAGGCTCCATCTGATCCAGGCTCCATCTGTGCGCGTCGATAGTGGCCCTGTGGCCGGACACTGTCCAGCTTCCTCGGAATGAACTCTGAGCCAGACCACAACGCAAAGGGGTCACTTGTTACGGCGAACGTCGGCGGTCCTTGCCCACCCTCAGGAGTCGGCTCCCTGCCCTGGGGATAGGAGAGCCCACTTGGAAAGTGACAGGAAGTGACACTCGGGTGGGAGCCCTGAGGGCAGCTGATGACCTCAGGCCCTGCAGGCGGCATGGCCGGTCAGGGTGACTGATGCGCCTCAGGACCAGGCCGGGCCCAGAAATGACACTCAGAGCCCACTTTTCTAAGCAAATTCCAAGCAAGTCTATATTTAGATATTTCTAGGGGAAGTTGTTTTTTATTATTATCCAAATATGACTGTCAAAAAAAGGAAGTGCCCACCCAGACCACACCACTGCCGGCTCCCGGAGACAGAGGCGGGACTCGGGCGGCGAAGCCACAGCGCAGCCCGTCACCCCGCGGGAGGAGCAGGCCCCTGTACCCCGGAGGGCGGCCGTCACTGTCTCCACGAGTCTGTGCAAGAACGTCACAAACGGGAAGGATGCAGACTGCATTCCCACGTCCCAGCACTGCCGTGTCCCCATGTCCCCTGCTCCCCGGCTCCAGTGTCCCCACGTCCCTGCGTCCCTGAGTTTCTGAGTCCCAGCCACCCCAGGTTCTTGCCAGCCACTGAAAGCTACAGGTAGATCTGAACAGGACGCCATGGCACCCACGCAGGGCGGCAGGCCTGGCGTGTGCTTCTGGAGCCTCCACGCGGGCCCAGCCTCCACTCCCCTTCCCAGAAGTAAGGGCAGAGGAGATGTAAGTGCAAGGCCCCGTGCCACCAGCCCCGTGCCACCAGCCCCGTCCCACCACAGACCACGTCCCCATCTTCCAGCGGCCAGCTTGCCCATGACGCGGAGCAAAGGCTCAGAGCTCCAGCCATGTGACCGGGTCCCCACGTGGATCGAGGGGGCCGTGTCCGGGATGCAGCGAGAGCAGGCCAGGCCCGGTCCCCACTCCCATGGGCAACAACCAGATCGTCACCGTCATGGGAACTCCGCTCGGCCAGGCACAGTGACATTCCCACAGGCGTTCATGCTCCCGCTGAAGCGAATGTCGCCCGGATCCGAAGCAGGACAATCCGCCACAGGGAAGGCCAGGCCGGGACCCCTCCCTCGGTGAGCCGAGCCGCAGAGCCCAGAACCACAGCCGGGAACAACCACAGCCGCAGGGTGCAATTTCCCCGCCGGGCCGGTCCTGCCTCCTGAGGGGGCGCGGCCGGGGACGCCCTGGGCTTGAGACAGGCTGCGAAGCAGGACCCCAGGGGGGGTCTCTGCACATGGCTTTGCACGACGAAGCGGCCGAGCCCAGCTGGGGACATGCGGGCGCTGCTCAGAGGTGGCCCCAGGGCTGTCACACAGCTCCGAGTGACAAGTGACGATGCCGGTGGCTGGTGCAGAGGGGCAGAGGTGACAAGGCGAGGCCGTGAGCAGCGGGCGCCCTGCCCCCATCCCCCGCGGCCGGCCACTCGCTGCGCGCCCGCCCTCATCGCCTCCCCTCCTTGTCCCAGAGGACCCCCGCCCACTGCGGCCTCGGACCAGGACCAGGGACGGGCGTCCGCAGAGCCCAGGGCGGGTCTGAGGGGTCGGCAGGCAAGTGAGGTGAGGGCTTCGCCCCGCCCTTCGCAGCCTGTCCGCCCGGCTGGCCCTCGTTTATTGGGCCGTGTGTCAGAGTTCAGCGCTGTCACTGGACACAGGGGCAAGCGAGGCTCTGAGGCGGCTGGTGACTCGCCCAGGGCGTCGGGGACTCCTGACGAGGAGCGGGTCCTGGGGTCCCCGCAGGCTGGCGTCCAGGCGTCTCGCTGAGTGGTCTGCCAGCCGGTGCCGTCGGGCCTGCTCCCAGACCGCGGCCTGGCCCCTCCCCAGGCTTGGTGCCTGGTGGCCTTTGCCCTTCTTCCTCTCCTCTGTCCTCCCAGGCTGTCCCTGGGGCTGGTGGCACCCGTGGCCTCCTTCTGGGCATGCACTGGCCTCTAGCTTGACCTCCCAGGTAGAAGAAGGGCACCTAGGGAGGGGTGAGCAGCCTCCCCGCCGGCTTCTCGGGAGCTGCCGGCAGCCGCAGGCTCACAGGAAGTGCGCTGACACGCCCTCGCCGCCCCGTGTCCCCTCAGCCCCCGCCCAGAGAGCCCCGGCCTTGGTCCCAGACAAACGCCACTTAGTTGCACAGGTGACATGCACTTTCTGACCACCCTTGAAACCCAGAGCTGTACGTGCAGCTGCTGACTCACCGTCAGCTCCGGGTGCCCAGCAGGCATCTCGGACCCCCACCCAGGTCTGCTCTCCGCTCCTCGTCCCTCGATGACCCCCTCTCCCTCACCCGTGTCGGCTCCACGACATCTCGAATCCGCCGCCTCCTCTCTGTCGGCCCGCCCCGCCCCCGCCCCCGCCAGTCCAACGCCACACCGTGACGTCGCCTGCAACTTCGAATCACGTCGTGATGCAGTGAGAACATCTCAGCGGCTCTCCACGATTCCGAAGATAAAGTTCGAACGCTCCA